GGAGCATATATTAAAGTGACATCTTGCCACAGAGTTCTGCAGTCCAGGGGGATCATATTGGAAAAACACACCATTTTTCAGTAAGAGAATTGAAATTTTAATTGAAATTGAAATAATTGAAATTTTTAAATTGAAAACTCTTTCCACACATCTGGTCCCCAGTTTCATCAATAATCTTACCTTATGCACACTGAATTAGTTTAAGGGAAAATACAATGGGCTAGAAATTGGTTATCCCTGATGTTTGGATCTGAGAATTAGTAATTCACATATTAGCTCACCAGATCCATCTGAAGGGGGCAGCATGCAAACTTTGTGGAGCCCTTCATTTCTGTGGTTGTAGTGCAGGACTAGCTGCCTCTTTGTACTGATGAAGGGTCTAGGCCCGAAACGTCAGCCTTTCTGCTCCTATGATGCTGCTTGGCCTGCTGTGTTCATCCAGCTCTGCACCTTGTTGTCTCGGATTCTCCAGCATCTGCAGTTCCTACTATCTCTGCCTCTTTGTACTGTTGGCTACCTGAGTGCTCAGTAGGAGGTGAGCAGCCTTGTGTTAACAGAGCTCATGGTGGATGTGGGAAGGAGATGATGTACTATGGTTTCCGTGGAATCAGTGGGATGTGAGGAGACAAGTGCAGGAGGCCCTTGAAAACATCCAAAGAAAGGAGTGACAGCAGATAGTCAGTTCCTGGCTCCTGGGCCCAAGGACCTGGCAGCAGTGCCATGATAAGTCAAATGAACTTGTATATCTTGCCAAGTTCAATTAATGCATCTTTTCTTAACCCGATATCCTTTGCTGCCTCAGTTGCTCACTCTGCTAATTATATCATAGCTGCATTACTCAGCCAATAGTGTTCCCTGACTCTCCAGACTTACTCCTAACATCTAGATATTCCACATCACACTCACAGATTTAACAATACTATAAACCTCACACTCACTTCTCAGTGCCTACGCAGATCTCCTGCTGTCCGGTTGTGGCTGTCACGTCACTCAAACGCCATGCTACAGAACATTCTGACCTCCCTCTCTTTTTGGAGAAGGTGGCACAGATAGAAGAGAGCAAGGCAGCATTGGCAGGATACAAGAAAGCCAACATCTCCTGAGCCACAGAGAGGAGATAGCTATCCGTATCATGTCCCTATTCCATCTAATATTGCTGAGAAAATTAAGTATGACAATATGTTCCTATCTTATCCGCTTTCTCGAATTTCATCTCATCCTCATCCTGCAGCCTAGTAACCTTAACTGCTTAGGTTGTTGTTTACCCACCTCATCCCCTTTCATTTACACCAGCTCTAACCTCCAACATCCTGCTTTTAGACTCCCAAGAAAGACTACTTTTTTAATTCACTCATGGGAAGAGGGATGTGATGACCTCTTGGTTTTATTGTTAGAATATTAATCCAGAAACTCAGCTAATGTTCTGGGGACTCGGGTTCGAATCCTGCCTTGGCAGATGGTGGAATTTGAATTCAATGGGAAAGAAAAATCTGGAATTAAGAATCTACTGCTAACCATGAAACTGCTGCTGACTGTTGTAAAAACCCATCTGGCTCCCTGATGTTCTTCAGGGAAGGAAATCTGCCTCCTCACCTGGTCTGGCTCTCAGCTGCCTTCTGATATGGCCTAGCAAGTCACTCAGTTCAGGGGCAGCTAGGGACAGGCAATGAATCCCACAAGTGAATTGAAAAGTCGCATGAGTGGGTATTGCTGGCTGGGCCAACATTTATTACCTGTCTTTAATTGCCCTTGAGAAACTGGTGGTGAGCTGCCTTCTTGAACCTGTAGTCCATGTGCTGAAGGTACACCCACAACACCCTTAGGGAGGCAATTCCAAAATTTTGAGCCAGTGTCAGCGAAGGAATGGTGATGTATTTCCAATCAGGATGGTGAGTGGCTTGGAGGGAAACCTGTAGGATGTGTTGATCGGCTGCTGAGGAGGGGATTGGGGGAGAGAGAGAGAGAGAGAGAGAGAAAAAGTACAGTGTTGAGGAAGAGGCCTTGTTAAAGCCCTTTTTCTGATTAAGATTTATGTGCTGCTCGACTGCCTATTGCTCCAATCTTTCAATACACTCATAAAGTCTGTTGTTATACTTCTTACACTTCACTGGACATCCACAAGTTTTGTGTAATCTGTAAATTCTAAAGTCTCTACCCAAGTCTATGTCATTAAAGTAAATAAAGCAAAGCTGACGTCCCAATAACAGCCCTTGGGAAACCCCACGGTGTAACATGATTCAATGTAAAAACAACCATTCTCCACAACTCTCTGTTTCCTGTTTTTCAACCAATGGGACTTGAAATGTTAACCCTGTTTCTCTTTCCACAGATGCTGTCAGACCTGCTAAATTTCTTCAGTGTGTGCTGTTTTAATGCCTTGAGGCAGCTTGCGTGGGGCTGGCCTGTGAAGAGGGTGGGGGTTGCACATCAGGGGATGGTTGGTCTGTGAATCCTGTCTTTTAAATCCTCACCATTAGCAGCAGACCACAGCTGATGTCATTGGCCATCCTGTGGAATAGTTTACCTTACTTCTAATTTTTTTCATTTCTGTTTCCTTAAGACACTCTCATTTTCACTTCTCTGACTGTGGTACTACTCATTTTTCTAAAGCCTGCAGACATCTGGATTGGTCTGTACCCTCAGGAATCTACCTGCTGTCTAAAATTGGACAGTTGATCCAAAGGTTGTCTTTTAAATATCTTCTTCTGTGGAAATATGCCTCACGGTATCCTAACTGACAAAGAGGGATTGGGATCTGCAAATGGAGTAAAGGCAGAGGATTATTGGAGGTTCCTCAAGGTAGTAGCCCAGGCCCAACCATTTTAGTTGGTTCATCAATGACCTTCCTCCATCATAAGGTCAACAGTGGAGATGCTTGATGATGATTACACAATGTTCAGCACCATTCACAACTGTTCCAAAATCTGTGTTGATGTCCAGTTTCTAGGTCTTCCTGATGCTTACCCACCTGATTAACTGCCCTTTTTGCCACCTTCGCCATTACTTCTTAGAAGAGGAAAATCCTACCTTTTCTAGAAGCAACAAGGTTCCCAATTTTTAGTATGACAATCAATAGATATATTAGTAAAACTAGAGTTAAGATAAACTGAAGAACATTGCCAGGAACAGTCTTGTACTGCAATCCCTATCTACTTCATATTGTCTTTACCAATTATGTCTGAGCTGGTTTTAAGTAATTTTGCCTCTTGATGTGACCTTCTATATTGAAACTTTTAATCTCATCAAAGGATGGTCTGCCTTAATTTGCAAGTATGCATTTAATCAATATAACTGGATGTGGCAATCATGGCTCAAACGTTCCTCAGAAAATGAAAAGTTTAAGCAAAACTGTTACTAAAATCTATTTTTCATTCACCTGTTTGAGCACTCATCGTAGCCTCATAGCCAATTATCCTTTCTCACTCTGCCAGAGAATTTCTTCTTGTACAGTGGACGTGAGCTGTTTGATTTTATCCCAACCTGCGTGGATATAGGTGTTCAGATAAGTTGTGTGGTCCAGGCATCCTGTCAGCGCAAGAACTAACGGGGCTGGTTGCTTGGAATTGAAGAAGGAAAGTTCTTGAGAAATGATGACTGCTGTTATTTACATTTCTGGCTGCTGTCCAAAAACCAAAGGTATAAGACTTCCTGCATTCTTGCACTGTCCTTTGGCTGATATCCAGATGCTTACTTTTGTTAAGCGCCCAGTTCTAGTCTATTGCTTTCAAAAACTTTTTTTTTTCAAATCTCTCAATTTTATCCCTTTCCCTGCAGTCTCCTCCATTCCTACAATCCTCCCTGAGATCTCTTCCCAATTTTGATCGCTCCACTGTTGACAGTCGTGCATTTAACTGCCTAGGCCTAAGCTCTGGCATTCCCTTTGTCAGTTGCTATATCTCCCTACTCCTCTTCTTCTTTAAGGAATTTCTTATAACCTCCTTCATTGATCAAGATTTTGTTCCGTTCTTATTTTATTTCATCCTGTGTCTTGATGCCAATCTTTAATTAACACTCCTTTGAAAAAGGCATGAAATGTCTTTTCATGTTGAAGGTTGGATTGACTGTGAGGATTTAACTTTTGGTTTGTTTTAATTGCTTTTCATTTATTGATTTTTTTTCCTTTGGCGAATTTACATGTCATTTTTGCATTTTATATAGTTTCTTTTTCACCTACTATTGAAGTAAGTGGCAATGTCAATCCAAATTCCCTGAGGAGTAGAAATCACACGACACTAGGTTATAGTCCAACAGGTTTATTTGAAAACACAAGCTTTCGGAGCTTCAGTTCTCCTTCAGGTGTTAGTATAGAATTCAGGCAATTTCTCTTTGCCTCATAGAATTAACACTAAGAAGGTGTGGCAGAACAGAGATGAGCTGCCAAAAAACTCCCCCTTCTAAGATTCACAAAATCTATTTTAAACTTTATATTGGTTTGCACAGCTCTGAAATGTTTGTTGCTAAAATACAATAATTTCATTAATGCAGGGGCAGCAGTAATAATTCCAAGTATCAATAATGTTAATTTATGTAAAGTTTTAACCATATACCTTATATACCACGGATTACAGATTACTTAATCTTTATAGATCCATATACTAAAGATTGAACATGGCTTATAAGCTTCAGCAATTCTGGTGTGTAGGTCAAGGATTATCTACGGCAACCTTGTAGCCTTTTGCCTGTGGTATAGCATACAACTCCCAGAATCTCTCACTGTAAACAGATGCAAAACATACTTATTTAAGAGCAAACGTGAGAGAGTCCAAATGTACAATCACGACTGGATAGTAATTGTGCAGGCCCTAGTGATAAGTTCCACATTTCCAATGGCAAAGCCTGTACGTGTTTAAGATAGATATTGACTGAAGATTTATGGCTGCCCATTTTGCACTATTGCACAAAGTGAGAATAACTCAATTTTCTGATTTAAAATTAAGAAAAACCGACTTTGTATTTTTAAAAATGGCAACAACTTTATCACTTTGTATTTATTTTTTCAGCTTGTCTTGATCAACAAGGGTGATATTCCTGCTGCGTACACCCGGATTCCTGCACGCAACCTGTTGGGGTCCTATTTCTGTTTGAACCCATGTGAAGGGACCCTGTTGCCAGGCAAATGCCAGTTGTTGGAGGTGACTTTCAAAGCTGCGATTCTTGGGAATTTCATAGTAGATTTATTTCTTTCAGTGAAAGGAACCCCTGAGCCAGTCCAAGTGACTTTCAAGTAAGCTGCTTTTTCTTTATCCAGACACAATTTGTGTATTTTCTTGTTTTTTTTCCATTTTGTGTGGTGAAAGGTAATATATGGCTCAAGGTTGAATGTGGCAAGGAGCTTCTTGAAGATTAACATAAGATATAGGAGCAGAATTTGGCCAGTTGGCCTGTTGGGTTTGGTCTGTCATTTGGTCATTGCTGATACGTTTCTTAACTCCATTCTCCTGCCTCCTCCTATAATCTTTGATCCACTTACTAATCAAGATCCTATCTATCTCTATCTTAAATACGCTCTAAGTCTCAATGAGATGCCCCTCATGCTTCCAAACTCCATTGAGTGCAGACCTGGATTCCTCAATCGCTCCTCATGTGACAAGCCCTTCATTCCTGGGATCATTTTTGTAAACCTCCTCTGGACATCTCCAACACCAGCATATCCTTCCTCATCTACAGAGTTTAAAACTTTTTAGCATGTCTGGCAGCACCTCTGGAGAGAAAATAGAGTTAATGTTTCGGATCCAATGACCCTTTTTCAGAACTGGATCCGAAGCATTAAATCTGTTTTGTCTCCACAGGTGCTGCGAAACTGACTGAGTTTTTCCAGCATTTCTGTTTGTGTTCACAATGATGATCCCTGGTTTGGAGGAATAGTCTTACGAGCAAAGGTAAAACAGTTTGGCACTCTACTCACTGGAATTTAGAAGAATGAGAGTTGATCTCATTGAAACATACAGGATTCTTAAGGGGCTTGCTAGGGTAAATGTTATGAGGATGTTTCCCCTCATAGGAGAGTCTAGAATCAGAAAGCATAATTTCAGAATAAAGGGGTGCCAATTTAAGACTCAGATGAAGGGGAATTTCTCCTCTGTGGGTTGAGAATCTTTGGAACTCCTTGCCACAGAGAGCTGTGGGTGCAGAGTACTTGCATTTATTTAAGGCTGAGATAAATAGATTCTTGATCAAAAGGAGGATCAAGGGTTATGGGAAAAATGCAGAACAGTGAATGTGAGGAATTTCAGCTCAGCCATGATCCTACTGAATGGCCAAGCAGGCTCGAGTGGCTGAAAGTCCTACTCCTATTCCTATTTCTTAAGGTCGTGTGGTCTTTGTGGAAGATGGTGACCTCCTTCTGCCATTCCCTGAAAGAGAATCTCCAGCTCCTTCATCCACAATTTCCAGCATTAAATACAGGCCAATGTTGAGTGGCTGCCCTCACCTTGGTGACGTGTTTTTGGCTTCTCGTGACATCTTGCTTCCCTCTGGTGAAATGGAAGGCTTTGGAACAATCAGCAGATTCTCCCACAGGCCAGTCAGATGGTTTCTGTGGGGTGTCAAAAAGAGCCCCAAACCTCACGTAACCCACCTGTCCCCTCTGGCCCTGAGTGAGTATGAAGCTCGTTTGCATACCAATTAAAAGGTCAATCAAGGAACATCTGAATTTTCATTGGAGTTGGTTTCTGACCAACACCAGCTCCTATTCCATAGAAGAGATATTGAACTCAAAATGTTAACTCTGTTTCTCCCTCCACATATGTTGCCAGACCTGCTGAGTTTCTCCAGCTCTTTCTGATTTTATCCTTATTTCCCATATTTGTCGAGAAAATTCAGTAATAAGTATTTTGTCAGGGAGTGTAAAATTTTGAGCATCACTTTCTCTGTTTTGTTCACTGTGGCTTTGGCTATTTAGTTCTGTATTCCATTTGGTTTATTAATAATTGTGGTGTAATGATTGGACAGGTTGAAGGTCAGCTCTAAAACTTTAGATCATTTTTAGCTTCACTCTCAGCATATTTGCGTCAATAATGAAGTCTAAATGAGGGTCAAGTTAATATTTTTAACTTGTGGGTCTTCATTGTTTTCAACATGTCTGCAAGCTTCAGCACATTTGACCACAATTTCCTCCTCCAATCCTCCACTCCTCCCACCATTGTCTCGTAGAGAGGAGCTCCATTCACATGGTTCCAATTTTATATAGCTAATTGTTGGCAACAATTCACCTATTATGACATTTCACCTTCCTCCCACACCATTTCTCAAGCCTATCTTTGACCCCTCCTGTTTCTCATTTACATCTTTCCCCTTGACAATATCAATAGTAAACTTATCGGTTTCTGCATTTACACTAATGGCAGTCACCTCTACCTCACTGACACCTCACTCATCTCTTCCATTGATGCTACAATTTCAGATTTAATGTCCAATATGCAATTTTAAATGACTAGATTTTTTTTTCAATTAAGTATTGAAGAAATAAGGCTATTGTCTTTGGTCTCTATTATGACCTATTCACTGACTCCATTCTGCTTCCTGGCAATTTTCTGAAACAGAATCAGACTGTTTTGCATTATAATGCTTAGGTGACCCATTTTATGAGGAATTATTATGTCAAAGGTACTATATGTTTATAAGTGGTCAAGTTTCAGGAATCAGACTTGTCTGCTCCACAGTTACCACACCAGACTGGAAGCTAAGACTGTTAATAGTGCTGATTTGCAGGCACAAAATCTGTTAAAATTCCACAACATGTGGGGCAACCCAGTCATCCATTTTTCTATCCAATATCCACATCCCCTGGCTATTTAGCCATCACTATTAATATCAGGCCCATGTCTTTACAAAGCTGTTACTTTGTAGGCTAGAATCCTTCTGTGGGACTCTGAAAGCTATTGTTTAGCTTTCACAGGCAGGAGAATGGGGTAGACATAATGATATTTTGTCATGCTGATCAATTGACTTTTTCAACTGACTAAAGTTGAAAATAACTTGATCCGACTAGTGGTGAGACGTACTTTTCTCATTGCTGTTTTTACCTTAATTCTACTTTTTTTTTTAGGTGTGAGAGTTTTAATAATGGTGCAGTGAATCTGATGAATCTAGTATCTTCTTTGATTGGTTTCTGAGAGTACTTTTGCTAGAAATCTTCTAAAGTGTTGACTGGAGCCTCAGTCCCAGTCAGAAACGTTCTGCTGTTCTGTTACATTTGGAAAGAGATTGCCTATTTTGTTTCACTGGTTAAGTATTGACATGTTCACCTTGGACTGTATTCATTATCATTGAAACTTGCCGAGTGTCGGCATTGAACTGCTAAAAATTATTTTCTTAGTGGCCTTGCAGATGCATCGCTAATTGTTACAGCCAACTGCTGCATAAAATATGCTGATAACTGCTTGTTTCCTGCAGGGGACATGTCATTGGACCTACCTTTCATTTCAATATGCCTGTACTGAACTTTGGGGAAGTGTCCTTTGGTGAGTATATAATATGTTAGTGCCACATAGTGGCTATTAGGAAAAGAATTGCAAAGAAATGAAGAATTCCTGTGCCATTTAATAATCAGGAATGAAGTTTCTATTCATGTGGAATTTTCAAATTTATGATTAATTCAGTGGCCCTTACGAAAGAACTCTCTGATACATTTCTTTACATCCATTTCATGTCCATCAAGTTTGTTGGCCCCAAAAGCCACATCTGATCATTTGTAATGGTAAAGCAGATATCTTCATTTTCACATTGGCCTCGTGCAAGTCCTATAGCTTTGACTGGCTTTCTTTGAGTTAATAGCACATTCAGAGTCTGGCAGTAACTCAGGAATGCAGGGTTTCAGCAGTGTAAGAGTGGTTCTTTTGGCAAGATTGTCATAGGTGATATTTTCAGTAAAATATTTAGTGACAGATAATTAGACGGCATCCATTTATATTCAAATTTATGATCATTCAATGGGCACCAGTCATTAATAATAACTGATTTATGGACGACTGATTGATTATTCAGTGTATTGTTACTGACAAGCCATCTGCATAAGGTTTAAATTGCAGTTCTAAATTAGACACAGTTCTATTCTTTATAAAGCTGGACAAATTGGTCTATTAGAAGAGGTATTGTTTGATCGACTTAGATTAGTTGTGGATGAGCTGAATACCAATGCAAGAGAATTTTGTTTTCCAATGTTCATTCAAAAAAAACATAAACAATATCATCTCAATTATTCATTCTCCTTGCTACACAATTGGAAATGACCTTTGGCTCAGTGGAATAAATCACCCACAACACACCTCTGCTATTTGATAAGATGATCCCCTTACTGATATCAGCATCTGTCCAAGAAGAGTGATACAGATTATCTTTGAGCCTCCTTAAGGGAAATCATTAAGGATACTTGTATTGTTCTGCTTTGAAGTCCTTCACCATGAAAACTTTATGTCAAAATGTCCAAGTGAAAATGATCCAGATGGGTCTAATCCTTAAGATCTCTGGCACCTTGTTGGACAGCATGAAGGTGGACATGGTGCTCTCTGAGGACCTAGTGTTTGCAATGAGTTTGGAGAGAGACAGCAGGCCTCTTTGTTGAGGTATGCACTGATTTCCAGTGCCCTCTTATGGAGGAGGAGAGAAGAAATATCAGAGAAGTTGCCTTTTTCTGCAGTTTTGGATGGAGTGGGTTTGACTGTACAGCATCTATTTTTTTTTGGTCATGTCCAAGAAAATCCAGCAAACTGGTTCAAGGATTTTGATAGTAGGCCCAGATGGTGCTGATCTAGTCTGAGTGCAGTGTCTGACTACCTTTACATCTGGGGTCCTTGACAAATAAGGATTTTATATCGAGCTGTAGCAGTAGACATTTTAGTCAATCAAAACTTTTTGTGTTTCTTTGAGTACGCTATATTTCAATTGCAGCAAAGTTTCTGGGACTTTTCTAATGCAGTGGATGAAGTGTCAGATTCTGATGTTGGCACTGTGAACACTGTGATCTTTGTGGAGGTTCATGGAACAGGAGCAGAGGACTGTCTCTCTTTGTCCTGATTGACCTGCCTGTTATAAATGAAACAAATTTCCTGTTTAATGTAAAGACTGGATTTCTTCTGAAAAGATGTTAAAGGGTATACGTATTAGATTAAGAAGTTTTACTGAAAGGGAACATTCCAAAACCCAGTGACGATCAAAGTTTGTGCATGAACATTCTTCTCAGATTGATTCAGTAAAACAATGGAATCATGGGCTGGACTTCAGTAAAATGGTATGATTTCAAAAATGGCAGATGATATTCTTTCAATGTTCTCTCATCTCGGGAGTCATTCATGCGGATTGGAAAATTGTTGAGGTTGTGCATGCTACTCTGCCATTTAAGAAAAGCAAGAGAGGGAAGCCAACTCAGTATAGACCAATTAGTCAAATATCTATTGTCAGATAGCATCCAGTCTGTTATTAAGTATACTGTGACTGAACAGTTTGAAACTTTTCAGCTGATCAGAAACAGCCAGCATGGATTTGTAAAGGGTAGATCACTTTTGATGAAACTGTTAGAATCTTTTGAAGAAATGGCTAAAATAGGAGGCAAGGAATATCAATGGATGTTATTTATATGTACTTCCAGAGGGCAACTGACTGTTACCTAAAGATGAACTCTGTTAACTTGAAAGCAGTTATCAATATGGTTAGGAAATGGACTGAGAGATCATAGACAGTGATTGGGGTTAATACCAGGATGTGACAAGTGGTGTCTTGCAAGGATCTGTGTTGGGGGCCTTCAGCTATTCACTGCATCTTTCGTGACTTAGATGATGGGTTAGAAACCCACATATCCAGATCTGCTGATCACGTATAGATAGATTGTATTGTAAACCATGCAAATTAAAGCATAAAATTACAAAGAGATATTGAAAGCTTAAATAGTTAGGAAAATGTGGCAAATGAAGGCATTTTGGACTTAAAAAAACAGTGGAAAACTTAATAAATGGTGAAGAGTTAGAAGCAACAGAGCTCTGCGGGGGTACATATATCATTAAAATGACAAACTAAATAAGGAAAATAATTTTTAAAACTAAATGCTTTTCAGTCACAGATTTAGAATGCAAAGAGGTAGAAGTCCTTTTTTAGCTATAAGTCTGGTTGGACCATGCCTGGGGTATTTTTCTGGAGCACTACCTTGCAACAGACTTGTGAGGAATGTTATATGTCATAATATAAAAGGGACAGAAGTAACTTGGGTAAAAAAAAAGTCTGGGTGATTGGAAATGGAGAATAATGGTCAATGGATTTTTTTTGGTCTAGAGGAAGATCCCCAGGGGTCGGTATTGGGACACTTCTTTTTCATGATATATATATTGATGATCTGGATCTTGGAGCAGGAGACAACTTCAAAGTTTGCAGATGACACAAAAAGTGGAAGAATTGTAAACTGTGAGGAGAACAATATGTAAGTCCAAAATGGACATTGACAAGTTGGTGGAGTGGGCAGATAAGTAGCAGATGAGGTTCAGTGCAGAGAAATGTGAGGTGATGCACTTATGTAGGAAGTATGTTGAAAGACAATCCAAAAGGGGCTACAGAAACAGAGAAAATTGGGTCTATATGTGCACAGATCATTGAATATGGCAGGAAGGTGGAGGGTGTAACTAATAAAGTGTTCTTGGTGTTATTAATAGAGGTGTACAGTTTAAAAGCAAGGACGTGATAGTGAACTTGTATAAGACACTTATTAGACCTCAGCTGGTGTGTTGTGTACAGTTGTGGGCACCACATTATAAGAAGGATGTGAATGCATTGGAGAGAGTGCAGAAGTAATTTACAAGAATGTTTCTAGGAATGAGAAACTTCAGTTATGAGGATAGAATGAAGCAGCTGGGATTGTTCTTCTTGGAAAGAAAAAGGCTGAGGGGCAATCTGATAGTGGTTTACAAAATCATGAGTGGACTGGACAGAGTAGTTAGGGAGAAACTGTTCCCCTCGTAAAAGGAACAAGAACAAGAGGGCGTAGATTTAAAGTGAAGTACAAATGAAACAAAGGTGATGTGAGAAAAAAAATCTTTTTCACACAGCTGATAGTTCGTGTATGGAATGCACTGCCTGGAAATGTGGTGAAGGCAGATTGAATTGAGGCATTCAAGAAAGCATTGAATGATCGTTTAGACAGAAATAATGTGCAAGAGACAAGGCAGAAGATTGGTCATCAGGTAATGATGATCATTTGAAGAGCTGGCATGAGCATGAGAGGCCAGATGTCTTTCTTCTGCACTGTAATAATTCTATGATTCTTTGATACTTCGGAAAGTTTAAGGTACAATGCTTTAGGAAGAATATATCACCCCATGAAGGGAGTTTACTGTGAAGTTTACCAGAATAATACTGGTGTTCCAAGAGTTAAGTTACAGGAAGGGATTGTTTAGTCTAGGACAAGAGCAAAATATTCCCAATGCTGGAAATCTGTAATTAATACAAGAAATGCACAAAATAATTCAGCAGAGTTGTTGATATCTGTGGACAAAGAAACAGACTTAAAGGATTGGGTTATCATGTTCCACGTAGATAATAAGAATTTCCCAGCTTTGCTTTCCTACCTCAGGAAGAATTTCCTTCAAGGGAGTGATCTGCTCTGTAAACAGTTTGGATATGGCTACGGGGTCTGCTTTGTGCCAAGATAGCCTTGTTAAAATGCCTACCTCGGTTCACTGGGATTTCATTCCGAGTTGCATTGTTTAATGGTAAGCTCTCTCGTCCACACATCACATTCCATCACTCCCATGCCTAATCCATTCCAACAGCCACTCCCAATAACCCTTCATACTATATGTCAGCTATACCCTCTCCATCCAACCCCAATGAACCCACAGACCCTTCATAGCAACTGAACTGTATTGAATCCTGATGCCCTCTTGACAACACTAGCCCCTCTACTCACCCTCATGACTCATAAGTATTGCAGGTGAACTTATGCTCTCCAACACATTTCAGCTGCCCCTCATATCGGTTATGCCAACTTCCACCTGTCCTCATGATCCCACGTGTGCTTTACCCAAATTATATTACTCAATCCAATTTATAATCCTCCATTCACTCTGAATAACCCTTCATTTCTGAAATAACAACCCATACCCTTCATCGACTTCAATAACCCCTCTTACTCTCCACCATAACACATTGCACTTTTCTGTCCATTCGCCTAGTATGGACTCTGCACTGGTACAGAACCAATAAAACCTCTCATAACAATGATATCTAAATCTGTTAATAGTATGCTACAAGTGTCTGCCGAGGATTGAACATAGTACAGCACAGTACAGGCCCTTCGGTCCATGATATAGAAGATAATAAGGCCAATAGGTTTTAGGAAATCATTTATTTATTGCATTAAAAATTGTATAAAGGAGAGTCAGGAAGGGAGCAGAGCATGATGGTGTGAGTAGAAATAAAACTGTGACCTAAAGGATATATTTCTGGACTCTGTCTAACCAGCATTTAACCTTTGTTATTATCATATGTAGAAAATCTTAATGACAGTAATTCATAGCATTCCTAAAAAAAACTGCTGTTACCACAGCCCTATAAAAGTGTCAATCAACCAGACCCTTAAATTATCAACAGCAGAAATGACAAGCACTTGACACCTATTTATCTCATGTTACTCAATATTGATTCATTAACAAAATAGATCTAAAAATGCTGTGATTTAAGCATTGGCCCTTATATAGCTGTTGCCTGAACTAATGGAAATATGTGCTCTCAGCTAATTTTACAATGCCTGTAGATTATTGGAAGAACAGAAGGGAAGATCTGTGATAGAATGAAAGACAGTAGGGATTAAATGACAAAGGAGCTTGCAAAATAAAGCTAAATATAATAGAACATGCTGGAAACCTACTATGTTTCTAACTTTTTCCAATTTTGTTGAAAGGCCATTGACCTGAGCTGGCAATTCCTTTTGTCTCCTGTAGGCCGCCTGTTCTGCTAAGTCTTCCTGGAATTTTATGTTTTTATTTCACATTTCCAGCAGTTGCAGGATCTTACTTCTGTACCAAAGTGAATTTGATAGTTGGAAAAATTTGTCATGAACTGGGGCAGCAAATGGAGACAGCATTTATAAAGCTGAGTCACATCCTTGTTTTTAAAGATCTCCAGTATTTCCACTACTGCACAGAATCCTAGGCTGGCATCTGCCATTTGCACAGTTTTGATCTTCATATGGCGCTATTTTATTACTTTTAGATGAACTTCTCACTAATTTATTTCCCTCTGCACTAATTGCTGTAACAGAAACACAGGGAAGATGGAAATCTGGAAATAACTGTCGTGAAAATGGAATGTTACAGAGTAGTGAAAGACAAAACAACACATCAAAAATAATGGGAGGAAAAAATCAAAATAATCAAGAGAAAAGCTGTGAATAAAAAGAAAGAGGTTGAAATTGTTTGCTTCAGACTCCAGCCAGATCAGTAAAGGATTTCAAGGGTGGTGAACACCCAACTATGTCTTTAAAAGAAAGACTTCTATTAGTGTAGCTCATTTTAAACCACAAGATAGCTCAAAACATTTTACAGTGAATTAAGTACCGATGACAGTGATCACTGTTGTAATATAGGCACACAGCAAACTCCTGTGAAGAAGAATGTAATAATAACCAGCTAAACTAGTTTTTGGACTTGCTGATTGAGGAAAAATTAATGTCCTGGAAAGTGGGACAGGATTAGAAAGAGGAAAAATGAGAGGGAATCATGCAGGCACCGGCTGCCATGTGTCTAAAGCAGCAGGACACTTCATTAGCTCGTTGAAACAACAGTGAGATGTACAGTTTTCTCGTTTGTCTGGAAGCGTGTCAGCAAATGAAGGTGGAAGTTCATGAATTAAGTGCCTTTTGTTTTTAGTAAACCTTCAAAGCCAAAAAGAGCAGTATACTCCGGCCAGGTTCATAGGAGGTCTTCAAATTCCCAATGTCCTCCCTAATAAAAAGAACAGTTATTGAATTATCATGCTCCAAACCCAATGGCCTCTCTTCTCTAGTTTGTCAGGGCTAATTCCAACCTTCAAACTCTAGTCTATGATTGAGCTTCTCTACCGAATTAGTTTGGTCACTTCCTCCTTACGCTCAACCCTGATGACTGATTTCTTCCAAACCCCACATAAGAATGTTTATCCTTCCCTCACCCAAAGGTCAGAGACCATCCCTAAGAATCCCTATCACTGTTTATTCCACCGAACAGCTACCCAGACTGTCAATATGTCCGGCTGCTGGAAACAAAACAAAAGATGCAAATAACAAGGAGTTTCTGATGTTAAAATTGATGCGCTGTCCTTCCCCTGGCTTTGCCAAATTGTCAGCTGTTTTTGGTCTCTCTACACCCACTTCATCACATTGTAAATGTGATAAAAAACCTTCAAGAGTTTTTAAACTACCAGCTGTTTTATGTTTGCTGGGCTAAGACGGCCAGTGAAAAGAAGCATTGCAGTCATTATAAGGATATAAAAATGGGAATATTAAAATCACCACAAAATGAGAAAGCTTGGTTTTGTGTTCTTGATAAACATATGATACAATGTCACTGTTGCAGTTTGCATCTTTCTAAGAAAGCTAACAGGGCCTCTGAGAAGCTCTGATATAACTGGTTATTGAATGTTGTCCCATTGTTTATAGTAAACCATGAGTTGTATTGGACTAAAGTGGAAGTGACTGCAGTACATATAGGTAATTTCTATCAAACTTATGTTTCAAAACATTCTAGGTTTTCCCAAGACCATATCATGTTGCCTTACCAACACATCCCTGGTACCAATGTCAATTAAGTTGCAAATTCCTGGTGACGGCATTGGTGAAATCAGTCAAACAAGCTTCAGCCAGGCCTCAGAACGCAGAAGCATAAGTTCGTGGATAAATGTCGAATCAGGAGCACGACTCAAAGAATTTACTATAAACCCTAGTGGTGGTATCATTAAGTCCCATGTTGGAAAAGAGATTCAGGTAACAAAATATCACTTGGCCTTCGCTTGTCTGTATCCGAACCGGCATCAGCAAAAGCCTTTCAGTGGGTCTTTTACCAGCCACTGTAAGCATCTTTTCATTGAGCTAAAAAATGAAATAATAGTGTGATTTGATTAATCTTGGCTCCTGTTTAAAAAATAGTTATCCCTTCCGGACTGCAAGTTTCCATTTTATAATACTTTTGAACAATGGTGGCTGTGAAGTTTCACAGTTGCCAATTGAATTTTATGTGAAAAAATTAAAAGGAACAATTTATTTGAAGTTTCATTGCAGTCCCATTGTTATTTACATTTTTGTCATGAAATCCCACACTGTGAACCTGAAAATAATGATATTGATGCAGACTCCACACCTGCAGATTTCATCATTCTGCAATCATGATTAAAGCTGATGCCATCCATTCTTCTCTGTGTAAGTCTACTCTTCGTGGGAGATAATGAAAGGAATAATTTATATTTATGTGTTTAATCTAGCAGTTTGTACATCGAGCAGCCGCTTAAACAGATTAATTGCTCCCATTTCCACCTTTACAAATGCAAATCATCTCTTGTTTACCTTGTTATGAGCCAGTTTCTAGAATCGACAAAATAACTACACAATTTTAAATTTATCTTATCTTTAGATGACATTGTGCATTTCAAGTTAATTTTTGTGCTGAGAATGCTCTGTAAGAGACCCTTAAAGCTAGTTATTTTTTAGAGTCATTATTGTTACTTGATGAATGCACTGCATGTAGAGTTTTCAAACAACTTTTCAACAACCCTTTTCAAATATACCTCTTTATGTTGGTGACATAGATAAGGAACAGCATTCCATATGGTTCTTGTGTCAGAATCTCCCTTGTTCACAGTACTGCTTATCAAATTTGGAGATGTTTGCATTTTATTCAGGACACTTATCGATAAAGTACTTGCAACATGCAAATCCCAGGTGCTACCAAGTGGAATAGGAGGGATTGAATTCCCACCTCAGCCCCATATTAGTTCAGAGACATGTTGAGAGTTGGGGGAAATAGGAAATCTTGAAGAAAGTTTAGCGCGTCTCTCAATGGCTTTTAATCCTTTTTTTAAAATTCACATATTCAGTCCAACAGAAAGTGGAATGTTTGATGTGGGTCTGGGTTGGGAAGTTGGAAGCAGGCACTCCATTTTGGATGGAATGTGTTGGTCACTCAGCTAGCATGGTACCTTCACCAAGTTGGTGCAAGTATTACAACCACTGCCATGGTAAGCGAGAGGGCTGCTGAAGGTCTGTTCTGAGTCTAGGGGTTGATGTACCATCCTGGTATGCTGAGTTTTGCACAATTGGAGCAGGCAATGTAGTAGATGCTGAGGAACTGGGTGAATGGGAGCAGTCGCCTGAGGAGGAAGATGAGGGCAATGAGCCAGAGGAAGCTTGCCTTGTGGATGACAGACAGGACATGATTGAACACTTAGTTCCAGTGGATGCAAACTGGATGCAGAAGCCCATCATAGGCTGTCAAGATGGGCAGTGTGGCTTTGTGGCTGATGTGTTATTATGCTCTTGGTGAGGGCCAATGCTGGATTGCCAATGCTTATCTGGGTGCATGGCAGCTTCTCGAAGATGGTATGGGCATAAGGGATGGCACTCTTTTGGCAGATATCTGCCGAATGTTGAGTTGTTTTGGAAATGGTGTGTGGTTAGAGGGGGCCTGAAACAGACATGATCGATGCTTATCAGGGTATGTTGGGGAAGGTAGTTAGGTAAGATACCGCAGGAACTTTTGAGAAGCTTTGCGGTGAGAATCCCTCTAAAGACCTTGACACAACTCAGTTTGGACAAAAGTAGTAATATTCTGCCTGATTTAACCTTCTTAAAAACATGATTACCTTGAATGTTTCTCAGAGCTTTTATATAATAGCTTCTCCCCAATGACAAATGTTAAGCCAACTGGCCTGTAAATTCCTGCTTTTTGCCTCTCTTTTTGATTCAAGTGAGTTACATTCACTATTTACAAATTTAATAGAATGTTCCATAGAATTTTGGAAGGTTGGAGAATTGACACATTAACTATCTCAATAGCCATTTCTTTTAATACCCTTGGATGAAGTCCATCAGGACCCAAGACTTGTTATTTTTCAGTGGGGTAGTGTGCTGGAAATCAAGCCTTGCTTTTTCTGGAGTCCTGATTACACTGATGTTCCTCCTATTCAGTGTTGTAATCTTTCTTCGCAGAAGGCATGCTGTTCTTCTAGTTCTTCAGAATTCATCTAATCTCCTCTGCTTGGTCTAGTTATGTAGCATATTATACAAAGATTCTGTGGCACTCTCTGTCTGAAGTTTCCACCAGCCAACCCAAGCATTTCACCTTCGGGAGATCTATTATCTGTACTATGATAGCCCATGTCGAAGAACGAGCTACATTGTATCTGTGCTCAGCCTCAGTCAAGGAATTGTTTATAACAATGCCATCAGCTGTGGTTGTAGAGGGTAGGTCTTGTCTCCCAGCAGCCATTCTTACAAGGCATCTGGTCCTTGAATTGAATTAGGAGGCTGAGAGTTATCAGGGGTATAGACATCATGGCAGCTTCCAGGATATTTAGTACAGACATCTGAGATATGGTACATGAGATGATCACAGGTGACTTTTTACTGATTGAAAGTCTTTTGTGTTGTGGAAGTCACAGAGCCATAAAGATGTACGGCATGGAAACAGATCCTTTGGATCAACTTATCCATGCCAACCAGATATCCTAGATAAATCTAGTCCCAAAAATTTGCCAACATTTGGCCCATATCCCTCTAAACCCTTCCTATCCATATTCCCATCCAGATGCCTTATAAATGTTGTAATTGTACCAGCGTCTACCATTTCCTCTGGCAGTTCATTCCATTCAGGCACCACCCTCTGTGTGAAAAACTTGCCCCTTAGGTCCCTTTTAAATCATTCCCTTCTCACCTTAAACCTAATGCCCTCTAGTTTTGGATTCCCCCAGCCCAGGGGGAAAAAACCTTATCTATTCACCCTATCCATGCCCCTCATAATTTTATAAACCTCTGTAAGGTCACCCCTCAGCCTCCAGAGAAAATCGCTCCAGCCTATTCAGCCTTTCCCTATAGCTCAAACCCTCCAACATCCTTGTAAATCTTTTCTGAACCCTTTCTACTTTCACAACATTCTTCCTATAGCACGGTGACCAGAATTGCACACAGTATTCTAATAATGGCCAAAATTCCCTGTGCAGCAGCAACATAACCTCCCAAATGCTATACTCAATGCTCTGTCCAATAAAGGCAAGCATGCCAAACGCCTTCTTGACTATCCTACCTACTGCGACTCCACTTTCAAGGAACCATGAACCTGTACTCCAAGGTTAATTTGTTCAGCAACGCTCCCCAGGATCTTACCATTAAGTGTATAACTCCTGCCCTGATTTGCCTTTCCCAATGCAGCACCTCATATTTATCTAAATTGAACTCCATCTGCCACTCCTCGGCCCATTGGCCCATCTGACCAAGATCCCATTTTATTCTGAGGTAACCTTCTTCGCTGTCCACTACACCTCCAATGTTGGTGTCATCTGCAAAATTACTAACCATACCTCCTGTGTTCTCATCCAAATGATTTATATGAATGACAAAAAGTCTTCTGCGTTATGATATAGCACTCAGTGTGGCATGTGTACAGTTCATAATACCCCACACCTTGGGGAAATGAACTATATTGGCAAAACTTACTGTCTGGGCTGCAGCACTGAACTCATCATGCAGAAATGACATAAAGCAGTGTGATCTGATGTAAATTATATGTTGATATCTTAGACAAGTTCCCAGTGGATCCTTGGAAACAACCAATTGCATAAAAATCTCGTACACCTGTCACTTTGACAGCCATTGGGACAGGATAGACACCCACCCCTTCAGGTTACAACTCCAACTTCAGCTCCCTAGGTGATTTTGAATGACAGCCCCAACTGATGAATGACCGGACTCCTGACTGATATCTGTCCAGCTCGCCGACTAACTGGACTACTCCCTGGACTGGTACTGCTGACACATGGTGCAGCTAATAACATTGATGGAATATGCTGCCATATATATATGGGAAGGATGTTGTTGTTGATGGGGAATCCAGAACCAGGGGTCACAGTCTTAAGGTCTGGGGTAAGCCATTTGGACTGTGATAAGGGGATGTTTCTTTACCTAGAGAGTGGTGAGCTTGTGGAATTCACTACCACGGAAAGCAGTCGAGTGCAAAATATTGTCTGATCTCAAGAAGGAATTGTGTATAGCCCTTGGGGCTAAATGATCAAAGGAAATGGGGAGGAAAGCAGGAACAGGCTGTTGAGTTGAATGATCGGCCATAATCATAATGAATGGCTGAGTAGGCTGAAAGAACTGAATGGTCTACTCCTACTCCTCTTTTTTATGTTGCTACATAGCAATATGTCTGCCCATTTGACTGATTATTGTTGACAAACATGACTAACTGACTTTGGGTTTGTGCTAAAAGGCAAGGCAAGGCAAGACAAGTATTGTGAAGTTGCAAGTTCCGAACGAGGTGCTAATGCACAAAAAAGGCAAGCCGAGGATATTGTGAGCGTCCAAATAAGCACCAAGTAAGTAAGTAAGCACTGACAGCAAGCTAAGAGTTCAGAGATGCACTCTGTTATGATGCATGAGAAGCACTGGGCAGCACAGTGGCTCAGTGGTTAGCACTGCTGCCAGGGATCTGGGTTCGATTCCACCCTTGGTCAACTGTATGTGTGAAGTTTGCACAATCTCCCCTGATCTGCATGGGCTTCATCCCACAGTCCAAAGATGTGCAGGTTAGGTGGATTGGCCATGCTAAATTGCCCATAGTGTCCAGGGATGTGCAAGCTACATGGATTAGCCATGCGAAATGCAGGGTTACACGGATGGTGGTGGGGAGAGGAGGGAAGGTCTGGTGGGATGCTGTTTGGAGGATCAGTGTGGACTTGATGGCCAAATGGTCTGATTCCATGCTGCAGGGATTC